CCCCTCTGGGGAATCTTATACAACTCTGCCGTTCAGCCCCGGTTACACACAACGATAAATAGTATCAGATTCGTCGTATGAGATAACTGTCCGTTTCATCGAACCGTGTTGTCTGTTTACACGTTCTAATCTATCGTTCAGTTTTCTATCGACTGAGGAGATTCCTCGTCATGAAGCCACCATGTCTCTTTGCGACGACAGCAATTTGCCTGCTCTCTATGTGAAGGTTTCGAGCTCTGGACCAAATGAATGAAAGGCGAACAGCCGAACACTGTACCTCTAATTCACGAGTGCTCCCCCCCCCCCCTTTCCCCTGTACATTTTGATTTAGCAGAACAGTGTCTTTAGAAAAAGGTGGCCATACTGTAGGCCTACCGTGCAACGCACCGAGCGACCTTGATGCACAGCTTCACCCTTAACGATTAACTAAATAATAAAATTGCTAAAATATTTATAATAACGCCCCAAATCAGGTTTTTCGCGAGGAACTTTGCTTATTTTGAGACGCTGATTCCGAATATGAAATCAGTTTTTACCTATGATAATTATTTTAAAAAAAATTGAGTTCTGAGTTTAGTTCTGCGGGGTGGCAAATTTCATAGTGAATCTACATCACAGCGCGTCTCACTCAAGTTTGACTTGACCGTGATCGCACGGAAAATATCAAACAGCGCTTGATTTCTCGACCGAGTTTCCAAATCATCGTTCAATCGTCCAAATTTTGTGCAATTTTGTGGTTACACCTTACGATTTATCGTATGATCGCTAGACCGTCCAGTTTTTGTACAATTTATCGTTACGTGTAACCGGGCCTGTTGTTAGTAAGGTCAGACCAGAGAGGTCAGACACTTATTGTAGACCACTTTCATTTTCCGTGTCTATGACGTTTGCCAAGTACTCATGAGTAGCTCATAAGCAGAAAAAGGGTCAAGCCCTTTTCTTCAGAAAACAAAGTCCTGCTTGATGAGGCCTTGAATCTTTCGAAACCAACTATCGTTTGTTTGTTTGTTTGTTTGTTTGTTTGTTTGTTTGTTTGTTTGTTTATTCGTCTCAAGTCTAACGTCTTACCGCTCGATTGGGACGCTTCTGTACAATGTAAAAAAATAAAATGGTTGCATGTAGTCTTCGTTAGTGCGGTAAAAAATTCGTGATGCAACCTATGGTCAAATATTTCCTAAACTATCGAAAATGGACTCGCCAGCTTTTTCACAATGACTTGTATCAATTTGTCTGAACAGATTTATATTTTTGTAAACACGCGTTCTCTAAAATTCCATAATAAATACTAATAAAAAATCCCCCAGTGGATGGTTTCTACAGATTTTAAAAGTTTTACAACTGGGGCAATATGGCTTTTGAAAGCAAGTCTGTCACGTTTTTCTAATCACGACGTTAAACTTATTGAACGCATATTTTGAGAACCTTTAGTGCAAAAAATTATGTTCAATATAAAATTACTTTCTTGTAACAAGTTTACGAATTTCCCACTAGACTCGGTTCTTTCGGAGATGGACGTTAAACTCGGAGGCCCTGCCTCTTAAATAACCTAATAGTGTTGATAGGGGCGTTAAACCTATACCATTTCACCAATTTTTCACCATTTGCAACAAGTTTGGCCACTATAAAAAAGTGTCATTGGTGAGCTGTGGTGTAGGTCATAATATTATCCGTATGCAAATTAATTTTCCTTACAAAGTAAGTCAGTTATCAAATTTTAATGATTTGGCTGATCTACTAACGATTGAATGAGTTAGCCAACACTTCGACAAGCTGAATATACAATAAACAAGTATGAATGAATAGAAAATACACCAGTAAATAAAATAACAAATATGCTTAAATAAAGGAACGCTCATTTGACCCACCTAATAAACAGCAGAAATGACAAACAGGCGTGCACAACTGACATCTGTATAGCACATGTGGGAGTTTTTACGCTCCCTTCGACAGAAGTCTGATCTTTATGAGGCGGGCTGCGACCTTGATGTCAATGCCAACCCGGGCAGAGAGAGAATATTACAAAGGCAGCGTGCTGAAATCAAGCGCTCGTCAAAATACAGAAATCGGAGAAACAGGCATTTTCCAGCCAGTTTGGACCTTTTTTTAATAGAATTTTTATTTTTTGGTTCAACCTCTTTTATGTTCATATAAAAAAACCCATTTCTATGTGAGTTTTACTTTTTTAAAAATGATTAAAGGCAAAAAATATGTCATTTTACTGTTTTCAAGGACTATTTAGCTATTGGAGCTACCAAACTTTGGCCGCCATTTTCTCGCTACTTTCACCACTGAAACCAGGCGACCGCGCTTCCTTCAAACACAAAGATCTTGAGTTCTATTCTGGATAGATGGATATCTATTTTATTGGAAACAAAGCAGATAAATCAGCTTTCAGATGATACCAATAACTCCACATGCCCCAAAATTCACGAGCGTCCGATTCCACCGCGTTGTGACATATTGTAATACGAGATAGTGTCCCAACACAAAGACAGAAATATGTAATCGATAAATAAATCTCCCCTCACAGCAGGCGTCGAACTCAAGCCTTCTACGTGCGACGGCGAAGTCCTTGCCTAATGGCTACATCATAGATGTCGGTAATCTGTATGAAGGAAATGAGTGAACCACAAAGAATACATGTAATAATAAATTATACATGTAGATCTACCATTATAATTTGGCTGTAGAGCACACTGCACACACCGATTTTGTCTTCTCACTATCTTGTAGACTTCAGCCTTTCTTTCTTATCAAATTCATTAACTCTTAATAAAAGGAAGGTTATCCCTCCTTTTGTTACCTTAGAATTACATAGTTTTATCTGCACAGTACCTAGTTTAGAGAAATTAGACGTTTTTCAGTTTCACAACATGTCAAACTGCTTTTTCGAGAACGCAATTCTTTGAATATCTGGATAACGACCCCGAATAATTTTACGACTTTGATAGCGCGTAGATAGAACGTTTGGTTTCTGACCTCATGGTCTTAGTAACTCAAGAAGGCCAAAATGTTAGACAGAACTTAAGAATTCTAGGGTGGCGCTTTGTCAATAGCCAATTTCGCTATCCGAGTTTTCAGCATCACAAACTTTCCCATAATTTCATCTCCCTATAATTTAGCCTATTTGCAGAAAATAAATACCAAGCTGAATAAAATCGAGTGATAGCTCTATAATAGAGGAGGACACTTTCTCCATCGTCAAAGCAAAGATTCTCTTTGGTCAAAGTACGAGAGATCAAATTATAGATACACCCTATATTACGTTTTCTAAAGCTCAGCACAAACATTATATTATAATGTTTCTAAAAGGGGAGAAAACCCCATAGTGGATGAGCTAATGAAATATATCATTTTCGACTACAAATCTGTTTTGAGATTGATCCAAAGCGTTGTTCGTGGTATAGCCTACTTGAGACTAGAATTGGTCTCTTTTAAGGCCAAGCGGGCCAACCCAGATTTCGGGGGTTTCCTAAAATCTTGACCTACACCAAAAGTGGGCATTGCCTTACCTATAGGAGAAGTTTGGTTTCATTGGTGTGTATATTTGTTTTTGTTTTTTTTTATAGAGAAAGCTCTGCAAGATCTAGTCTTTTAAAGAAACTGAACAAGGGACAAAACTTTACCTTCGATTTTCTCAAAACACCATTTTTCGGGGTAGCCTCCTTGTGCTTAAAAGCGAACAATTGTAACTTAGTTTTCTCCCATTGTGTTCTTGAAGTCATTAGAATAACAATATCTTATTTCAAGCATTTTATACTTATATCTTTTTATTTGTCTTTTTTTCTGTTCTGAACCAGTATCTGGATGCCGTCTATAAATCAAGGCAACACTTTGTCTGACGAAATGGTGCACTTGGTGGCTTTAGATGACGCATTTCCGGTCTTATTGAACAGCGACGGCCAAGTCACCTGGACTCCGCCAGCGCAGTTACACACTACATGCACGCTGGACATGACCAAGTTTCCCAATGATCAACACGCGTGCACTTTCTTCATCCTTCTAAACAGCTACCCAGCTGATCAGGTGTATTTGAACTCGTCGGCAGGAGACTCGATCATTTCCACGAGTTGGCTGAACGACGGCCAGTGGGAACTACAGAGTGCCACCGTTTTCACTTCCTCCTTTATGTTCCTGGAAGATCAGAACAGGAGTGCTCTGTCTTTGATGATCAGATTCCAGAGACTTCCCACGTTCTTTGTCCTGAACTTGCTGTTCCCCACTTGCGCCTTATCTTTCCTGAACATTCTGGTGTTTATATTGCCGGCGAGCTCTGGGGAAAAGGTGAAAGAAGCTTTCTGTTGATTGATTTGTGCGTTTGTGTGTTTTCTCTGTCTGTCTGTTTGTCCGTCTGTCTGTCTGTTCCTCGCTATGTGTGTGTGTGTTTGTGTGAGAGAGAGACAGAGAGAGAGAGAGAGACAGACAGACACACAGAGAGAGAGAGACAGACAGACACAGAGAGAGAGACAGACAGACACAGAGAGAGATAGATAGATAGATAGATAGATAGATAGATAGATAGATAGATAGATTGATAGAGAGAGAGAGAGAGAGAGAGAGAGAGAGAGAGAGAGAGATAGATAGATAGATAGAGAGAGAGAGAGAGAATCACAGACAGACAAACCGATAGACAGACAGATAGATAGATAGATAGATAGATAGATAGATAGATAGATAGATAGATAGATAGATAGATAGATAGATAGATAGATAGATATTTTAGCGCCTTACGTATCCACAGTACATTTGGTTGTTTTAAGGGGTTTTTTTGCTCAAATATTCTGCGCCAAATTCTTAAACATGAACAGTCTGTTTTAGATGAAGAAGGGACCCTTGGTAAACAAGATCACAATGTTCCCTCCAATTTCGACCTATTTTTGTCCACAAAAAATGGAAGAATCAATGAAAAGTTCCGAGTCAGGTTTTTAAAACAAAATAAGCCTGTTATATGATAAAACCCATCAAACCTTGGACGACTCAAATCTCAGATTGTCTAATGCCATGTATCTCCAACATTCCAAATGATCGTTTTCGTGCTTATTTATTGTTAACCGAAATCTATAATACTAGATCTACTATTTTGCGGCTTCCGTAAGAAATTACATTCAATGCAATCTCTATCAATCTTGCAAACTCTACAGTTTTATTAAGGAGATTTAGATCATACGATTAAGCAAGTAGACCTCTATGCATCTAGTAGAATTCACAAAATTGACAAAAGTTTCGCCTAGCAGGCTTCATCAGGAGCATTCAATCATTAACACTCATAAACTGCCACATGCAATCATGAACAATCCTGAGCAGCCACGAACAATCATTAACAATTATTAACAATCAATAACAATCATTAACAGCAACTCATTTTCATGAGCTATCATGAGCAATCACGAACAGTCATGAACAATCAATAACACTCATTAACAGCGACCCATTTCATTTACAATTAGGAACAATCATGAACAATCATTAACAGTCACTCATTTCTCTTATAATTAGTCATGGGCTATCATGAACAATCATTAACAATCAATAACAATCTTTAACAGCGACTCAATTCATCTGCAATCATGAGCAGTCATGAATAATCATGGACAATCATGAACAGTCATGAACGACCACTAAAAGTCACTCAATTCAGGGCTTCCTCCTTTACGCTTCACAGGTGAGCTACTCTATCACAGTTCTTCTGTCGATGATGGTGTTCATGAGCACTACCACCTCCGTCCTGCCCCCGACCTCCTTGTCCGTACCTCTCGTCACGCAGTTCCTCACCACCCTCACGATCATCAGCATCCTCAGCGTTGTCGCCACTGTCTTCTCCGTCTTTGTCCATCACTTGCGAGAACGGCAAGAGGCCGAGCACGGCATGATTGTCAAAGTTCTGCAAAGTCTCACCAAACTGAAAGGCGGGAACGAGTTGTCCTCTGCGCATGCGCAGTCCGAGAAGAAAAAGAAAAATGGCGACGGGGCTGGTGATACGGCTTTGTTTTGGAGAGGGAAGACGTCGAGCAAAGTCTTTCCAAGTGATGATGAATGCCTTGAAAGAGCTTCGAGCATTATTGGTTTGGATAACGAAAGGAGTGTCGAGCCTGACCAAATTCCAAGTAGAAGCCCTTCCAAAATATCGACAGAATTAATCCATACTGAAAAAAGCAATATAAACTTCAGAAACGACGAGAGTCTTCCTCCTCTTGAAGAACCCCCAAGCTATCAAGTATCAGAGACTTCAAACCAATGGGTAAAACCAAAAATCTTTAGCAACACACTAAACAACAACAACAACCAGTCGAGCGTAGCGGTTTTCAACGAAAAGACAAGAACTATCAAGACAGCTAACGAGGAAGAGAGCGAGTCAAGAGAGAAGAACAAGAATCAAGGTGAAATGTGCTGGAATGGAAAGAAACTGGCGAGCACTGTAAACAAAAGTAGCAGTGACTACAAAAGCAGTGATCCCCAAGATGGCGTCAATATTATGACAAGGAACAAAGGCTTACGCCTTGTTTTCTCCAAACACCTGGACACAGGTCTGTTCTTAGTGTTTGCTTTAGCCTGGACACTGGCTAGCCTGACTTATCTTTTCTTATTATTTTTGTGATATTTGACACCTCGCTATCTTCAGTTTTGCAGCCTTAATACAGGCACTCTTTTGACTTCTCACTATTGTTAGTTCTGCTGTCTTGATTTGTGTATCCATATCGCAAGTGGTGTGACATAACACTTTCTTTGCGATAATTAATATAATCTCTATACCTATATTATACTATATTTTTTTAAGTTCGTCACTTTGGCTGCCTTAAACTTCTGAACCACTTAACTTTCACATTTAACAAAATTAATTCAGGATCTTTTAAAGGGTGCACATTTTTATTGAGAAGTCGGAAATTACTGTAGTTTAATTTTCAGTTTTTCATTAGTTTCGTTTAGATCTAATCTTGGGAAATCCCGTCTTTTAAGAAGCCATAGGCCTAAACCTATTAACATGTATATGCTATTTTCAAGAAATTCAACTTAGTAATAAAACATATTTTAAGAGATATTGAAAGCATCTTTGCAATTAATAATTTACCTCCTATCTGCCAATCATAGCATCATGCATTATAATATAGCTATCAGGAGATTCATAACTGCACACGGGGGCTCCTGTGGCCTAGAGGATAAGGTGTTGGCCTCTCATTCAAAGGACCTGGGTTCGAATCCGGGTACCGACGGGAAAATGTTCTTCTCTAAAGTTGTCTCCTTTCTTCACCTCCTTTTCTGCTCTCTAACAATGTTCTGTCGTCTGCTTTCGTCTCCACTTTCTGTCCCCACCCTCCGTTGCCCCCCTCCTCTGGGCTCCTGACTCTTTCTGCAGCTTTTCAACTCCTACTCCTTGGCTCCTTTTTGCTGCTGTCTTTCAGCCACACTCCTGATCTTCTGGAAGGAAAGATCTACATCTAGCCTTCTCGGATAAGAGCGAAAAATCTCGGAGGTTCCGTGTATCATTCTTGTGAGCTCTTCAGTTTCAAATGTCAATTAAAATTATAATTTTAATTTCAATATTTTTGCACTTTTGAAAATATATGTGAATGTTCCTTGAGGTGAATAAAAGAATAAAGATGGACGGAAATGAATAGTTTTTTTACATGTATTAAAAAAATATAGAATAAATTAATATTGTGAATTTTGAGTTTGATACGTGGCATTGTATCATTCTTGTGAGCTCTTTAGTTCCATACGTTAATCTTAACTTTAATTCTAATTTTAATTTTCACACTTTTACACTTTTGAAAATATATGCGAATGTTCCTTGATGTAAGTAAAAGAATAAGGATGGAAATGAATTTTAAAAATAATTTAAAAAATAAATAATTTAATGTACTTTGTGAACTGTGAGTTTGATACCTGGCATTGTATCATTCTTGTGATCTCTTCAGTTTCATAATATGTTAATTTTAATTTTAATTTTAGTGTTCACATTTTACACGTTTGAAAATACCTGTGAATGTTCCTTGATGTGAGAGTAAAAGAATATAAATGGAATTGAATTTTTGAAGAAAAAAAAATTCCAAAATATAAAATATTAACACAATTATAAGATTACCGTGCACTTATACGATCGTTAAAACGCGCAGCAAAATAGCGCAGAACACATGCAGTCTTTGTTTTAAAGATATCTTTTGTTTCTCCAGAAGAAGATCAGGAATATCCCCCGCGGCGGTGCCACTGACTGTAGTGTCTCTAGGCCGTTCCCAAAGGGGGGACATTTCTCGTTCATGCACAGTAGAATTGTAAATGGGCTGATTCATCAATGTCACGCTCATAACTGTGCCTGATCTACAACAGGGAACTGCTGCTTTTTCCCCCCTAATCCTTACTATTGTCATTTTTCCTCTACTTCTTTTGTAATTTTGTCACACTCTTGTGACCCACTATTTCCAGGGTGCTTTGATAGTCGAGCAGACTTTGTGCAGTTGAAGCTAGAGAGGTGAGCAGAGTAAGTCTGATTCCCTTAGGACTCTCTGTTGACATCCACCTCTTGGCTCTCATATGACCTTATGCAGTTGCGAGCGCGCGCCGTAAAACCTCTACTAAGACAAATAAGAACAGGAATCGCACCCCTTGCGCGCGCAGATCGACTGCTTTTCGTTCATCGGCCTACGAGGAGCGGTGAGAAGTGACGCCGATAACTCGAGCTCTAAAATACCTATAAACGACTTTTAAAAGCACGCAGGAGAGAAAAGGCTGACTGAATTTCACGATGTAAACAAAATCGGCTTTTGAGGGATGAGACACGTACTACACCCATGATTTTGTCGCCTCATATTTGCTTTTACTTTTAATAGTGAGAGGCCCACATAATATGGGCTTCTTTCAGTCATGTGGCAAATTTACTTGAATTTACTTGGAACCAGAGCTAGAATCATAGCAAGCGGCACATGTCCATAGCTGCTTATCTCTCCTTTCCAGCGTCCACCCCAGGGTCTTCCTGCTAATTGTCTCCATGAGGAGCTGGTTTGAGACACGCCTGACCACTCCTCGGAGCAAACTGTTCTTCCCTGTGCACCGCACATGTTTTTCTTTTATTGTGCTGAGTGTGTGGGAGTCTGTCTCCTCTTGGACGTGAAGGCTCTCCTTGCATCTGGCAATCGCCATTGGTGGGTCAAGCATGATACAGCCATTGGGTGCTTCTTACAGGCAACTTCATCAGCACGCTCATTTCCGTGCATCCCGGCATGACCAGGGCAGAACACCCATGTTATTCTTCGGAGGTGGCTATTTGCAATGGAAGCTCCCCAGTCAATGTAGAGCCACCTACTCCTGATTTTTTCTTTGGTGCTCATCGAATCTGTGACGAACAGGGCATGTTTATGTGTGGCAAATATTGGCCCGAAGTCACGAAGTGGCAAAGAACTCCAAGAGGCAATACAAAATTGCTTGAATGACGTTCCTTTTAACCCTGTCCGTTCGTCGTGTAGTTTTACTATCGTATCCATACGACGTGCAGAACTCTGTGCCACCATTTTCCAAAGATGAAATTTACTTGTTATGTTAGTACGATCTGTACGTTTTGCATAGTAGTCTGTGAAAATGATTTTTTGAGAAATACTGAAAGTTTCAAAGAGATCTTTGTACTACATGTAGAGGTGTTCTAAATTAATGTGAAGAATACAATGACACAGGGAAGATAACTATTGCTGTTAGGAATGTTTAAAAAAAAATAAAATCCAATAATAAACTTGCAATACCAACATAAACAATTGGGAATAAAATTATATCAATTTAAAAAAACCCAACAACCCAAAAAACACCTGGTAAAATAAACTGCAGTGCACCCGAATAAAATAAATCAAATAATAAAGTCGTTTCAAATGCAATGCATTACTCGTTTTTTTATTTATTGGAATTCAAGACAAACGCACAAGCACACACACACACACACACACACACACACACACACACACACACACACACACACACACACACACACACACACACACACACACACACACACTCACACACTCACACACACACACACACTTAAAAACATACACACACATAATATTGTATTATATTATATTTTCTTTTCTTATTTGTTTATTTATATATTTATTTTTTTGATAAGTGTTTTACGGCGCTCGCGACTGTATAAGGTCATATGATGAGCGCGGGACACATTAAACATTTTCAGTTGGTAGGAAATTTTGCCCGGGTGGCGGCCGATTTTAGATCACCAAGGGGTCTTCAACGTGCGCAACTTGCACACGGGACCTACAAGATTTTTCAAGCTTGTCGGAGAAGGCTAGGTTTAGATCTTTCCTACCAAAGGATCATGGGTGTGGCTGAAAGACAGCAGTAAGAGAAAGGCTGCAGAAAGAGTCAGGAGTCCAGAGAATAGAGGTGGGCAAAATCCGGAAAATCTATAAGGATAACCGGATAATTTTCAATGAATCATTATCCAAATCAGACTCTTAACTCTCTTTCCTGACCTGTTTGCCGAAGTGGGTGCACCTATTTGTTGAAGTAGTGCTAACCCGTTTATCAAAGTGATTCTAACCCATTTGCCGAAACGATCCATATCATATTATTTGCCAAAGAGATGCACTAACGTAACATATTATTATTATCCTGATTTTGCTAAAGCGACTTATTGCCCAGCCCTACCAGAGAAGCGGGCAAAAGAGGTGAGGGGACCACAAACTGGAGACGAAAGCAGACGACAGAACATTGCAGAGCAGGAAAGAAGGTGGAAGGAGACACTTTTAGAGAAGAAAATTTTTCCGTCGCTACCCGGATTCGAACCAGGGACCTTTGGATGAGAGGGGAACACCTTAACCTCTAGGTCACGAGAGCCCCCTATATTTGTGTGGGTATATAAATAATATAATATGCAGGGGCGGTTCTTTCACTGGGAGGTCACTTTTTTTTCAGCTGGACATTAAACAAGAGCGTAAATGCTGACAAACATTTTTTAAAAAGTTTTAAGTAAATAAACTTTAATTAACGTTCAAAAAGCACTGGGTCGATGTGCAGGCGCTCTGAGAAACAATAGGGGTTCACTGGTGTTTTTACTCTGTAGACATATACACGTGTTCTTATATAGACCTATATTCAGGCTGCTTTAACACACATACACCCCCCCCCCCCCACACATACACACATACAGAGAGAGAGAGAGAGAGAGAGAGAGAGAGAGAGAGAGAGAGAGAGAGAGAGAGAGAGAGAGAGAGAGAGAGAGAGAGAGAAGAAAGAGATATATATTATACAATACATGACAATGTATTATGTATAATCACCAAGGACTACTATACTCAAGGACGTGCACCGTCGGATTCCTGACTTGGCTAGCGAAGGCCATCATATAAACATGTCCAACTTATCACTAGGCATAAGATACATTTCATATTGAGTGTGAGAAAGCTAAAACATGTAATGTTGTTGAACGCAATATCGTAGCATAGTAATACATGTTATTTCTATATTTGTATTATGTCATGCAGAAATATTAGTATGAAGGGCATTTAAAAAATGTTAACGAATACAACAACAAGAATTAGGCTTACTCACCAAGTCAATCCGCCATACGTGCCTTCTTGGTGGATGTCTGTAGCAGGGCTGCATTCTTTTGCTGATCCTTCTCTAGATTGTGCAGACCGCGGAGTAAGACATTTGCCAGATGACGGAGCAGTTTCTAGGACTGAACGATGTCGAAGTCGTGAAATTCCCCCATGGTTGATAGAATTCCAACAAGTCTCTGACGACAACAAACTCTATTTTTTGCTTTCTTTACAAAGGAAAGTCCAATCCTAGTCAGGTCATACGTAGACATATGGGGGGTTTTAAGGGAGCCTCTGGACACTTCCTCTAAAATGTTCTTCACTTCTGTGGAGACGAAAGGCTCATCCTCGCTGTAGGTGTTGTCATCTATACATTTCGCTCCAGCCATCCTGCTACATAGACACAGCAGCTTTCTTCGTTGGCAGTCAGAGTAACATCTGAGAAGCTACTCTCAATGGCTTCTCTATCAGCAGCAACCAAAGGCCCACAGCACAGATGTTTGTCAGAGGTTGATGGGGAATCATCAGCTATGACATCAATACTCTCGAGAAAAGATGCTGCATGCCTAGCGAGGCGCTTCTTGCATGCCGAGATAACATCTACGGTGGACTGCCTGTAAACGGAAAATTCGCCTTCAATGCGATCGCTCTGTATCTCACGCAGCAGCACATATTGAAATCCTGATGACAATAAGTGTTTTGTCACGGCACTGAGTCCACGCATGGTTTGTACCAGAGCTTTCTTGGTGTCGTGGGTGAGGCATTTTTTTCGAGACACTCCCTGTCCTGACATTGATTCTTCAAACTTCTTGGCATACGTGTCCAAACTATCAGACGCTAACACCTGAGCAGCTCTGTGTGGATCCTTCATACGAATGTCCTGTCCCTTGGCATTTACAGTATACCACCAGTTTAGAACAAACTGAACGAACTCTGCAGTGGCATAACACCCTTGCAGTGCCAGCCCAGCAATAACCTTTTCATTGAAAATTCTTAATACATGTTGCACATTTTGAAGTTGTAGTTTTGACGGGTTGACAGAGGCATATGTAAGTCGCGTGGTTTTATTTTTCTTGTGCTTGGCAAGACCAAAATGTCTCTTAGTTGTTCATAACTGCAGCGGGGAAACGATTCGATAGCGAAACAGTAATCATTTACAAAAAATTGTTTGTGAGTCAACAGTTTCAGCTGATGAGTTATAAAGTCTAGCTTTCTTTCCCTTTTCTTTTCCTGAATAAAAGAACAAAATAATAGAAAGATTCTAGTTTACTGGACCACTAGGCAATTACAAATTACAAGAAATCAAGATCTTAACTTTACCTTAGTTTACTCCAGTCCTTCAAAATTTGTTGATTAGATCTAGATTTACTAATTGAAATTGTAAACATCAACTGTCTAGGTACGAGATTTTATCGGTAGGAAAATGAAAAAATAATCTTTTTTTAAAATAAACCACTGGATTATATGTAGGCCTACTGCAAAGCAAGGATCGACATTATTTTTTAAAATTATTTGTTAAAACTTAATCCTACACTACTGGTCCAGTATACTAGGATCTTACCTTTGGGTCTTCAAGTTCTGTGCAACGTGATTGTTCCAATACTTCCACAACTCTCTCAAGCACAACATCCAGAGGAACTTTATAGTTTATGGCGACGTGCACACACTCAAA